ATACCTGCACATGTGTGACAGAGTTGAGTGATGTCCAGATGTTGAGTCTGGTTGCTGACGGGATTGTTGAGCACACAGCTGTAGGTGTTTTTCTCCTGATATTCCACCTCCAGAGGTAGAGAGAGACTGATGTTGAGATCAGACACACTGATGTTGGACAATAAACTGTTTCCTTTGTACCAGGAGAGAGTCACATGTCTCACATTCACCACTGAACACAGGTAGATCCTCGATGATCTTTCAGATGATGAAGATTGTAAAGTGTCAATGAAGATTACAGGAATGGGCAGAGGAGCTGGAAAACACAACATGCTTTATAAAGGTGCATCCTGAATCATCATTTTGACAATGATGTAGCCTATTCTCCATGTAATAGGTTACATAATAATCCACTCACCATACACAGTAACTCTGTAAATCTTGGGTATGTCTTCATTTCCAACCTTCATGCTTAGACGATAAACTCCAGTGTGTTCAGTTGTGGTGTTTCTAATGGTGAGAGAGCCGGTGTGATCCAGCTGCAGTCGGCCTCTGAATCTCCAAACCTCATCATAATATGTACCGTTCACTCCCTTGATTCTGGCGATTCGCTCCTCTCCAAACCTCCACTCTATCTTGTCATATCCCTGTTTATCAGTAACATCAGTCTTTAGAGTGACAGAATCTCCCTCCATCACTGATACTGACTTCACTGCATCTGTCTCCGCAACAAACACACCTGGAGAACATGTAACAAATGTTGTAACACTTCACACAACCAGATGAGAAAAACACAAACAAAACAACATAAACGCGTGGGTCATTTTCTTTAGCCGTTTGAGATAAATCGCTTAGTATGCATCCGTTTTCGACAGGAATATATCATTAATACGATCTGAAAAATAAGGTTGAGAGATAAACACAGAAAGACCTCCAGACAGCGCGCTTCTGTCAACGTGCAGGCGATGCTTTCTACTGTAGTTCAGTTTCACATCCTGGTTAATGCTATTACTTAACATATTGTGCTAAATCATTCTGTGTCTCTCAATATAATTATGTCATATTGTCTTTACCTAACGGTCTTACTTTTTTAGGCTTCATTTTTGTGGTAGCCTACTCTGTTAGGCTATTGTTTCTGTTCAGAATGTTGCAGCAGTTGTTTGTTTCAATCAGTCATTGTCTCAAAGGAAAATAATGTCTTTGCCCATTTACCCATCATTCAACAACACACATGCAATAGTAAACACATTGTTAGCTGCAAGAGACGTTTGTCCACTCAACAGTAGCCACATTTATTTGGGTCATATGCCTCTAAACTGGTCTGAGTTAAACTCAGACCGCAGCAGGTTTCAGTCTGACTCAGAAACGGAGCTGCCAGAGTCTCAAAAGCATATAGTGGAAACAAGATGCTTCTTACATGAGATTTTGTGTGTGTTTGTTTACTGTCTTTTATTTCACATTAAAGTGGTTTTGAGAAGAAGTCAATCATGTTAGCAGGTAAAGAAGCCTTCCATACTAAATCTACAAGCTCAGACATTCAGAAAAAACTTAACAGGCTATTTTTTGGTATGGTCTTTTTCAATTCTTCATTTTGTTTCTCATTTCTCACTTTTTAACTTAAAAATTCAATGATCTGAGTAAATCATTAAGATAAGGGTAGTCATTGAATGATATCTTTTTTCTGATCTAACTGCAATAACTGCAGATCGTCTTGGTTCTTGTGGTTTATCTTCAGTATTTTCTGTTCACTGTGGCATTAACAAAAACCTCTCCTTCGTTTCCAAACTTCACAAAAGAAGCTGAATGGAGAACACTGAAGAACTGACTTGACCACATACATTAATTCTTTGTTTCTGGGTTTGTATTGTTATTTCACTTCTTCTCATATCATACTAATTGCACTTTATGTTTTTTGTTGAGATCCAGTACACCACATCCTGTAGACAGTATCAGCAAATTGACCCTTGATGTTCTGCACACGTAAATGTGAATTCAGAGAGAGATTTTAATGTTCAGATTGTGTATTCATTCCGTTAGTTAACCTAATTAATTTTAACATTTTGGCGTGACATTTTACAAGAAAACTTGATAATTTTTTATTTGATTATTTTGTGACTCACTGATGTTGACATCAACGGGCTTGTCCAAATACCCACACTTGCGGCCTTTGCACTTGACCACTTGTCTACTTACATGACGTATTTCCTGTATTTGGCCCAAGTGTTCAAGTGGGGGTGAAGACCACAAGTGTGTGTGGTCTTTTCATTACCTGATGGGACACATTATAGTGTTGTAAAAATGCAAGTGTTTACAGAGCTTTATTTTGATTTTCAATCCTTTGCATTTTAAAATAAACGTCTAAATGTCTGTTCAGTACAGATGACACACTTGTGGTGCTTCTAATGAAGTGATAAAAAGCAGTTACAAAATAAACATACTCATCTTTGCACCAATAAAAGTGCAACACTTTATGTTTTGCTACCAAATTGTAAGTAATATATAATTATTATTATTATATAACTCTCGTGAGATCTCGGCCAAAAGTCTTGATTTATTTCCAGAACATGATGCATGATGGGATACACTTAGCCTTGAATACCACTCTGGAGAGGTTAAGGTGATTGCAATTTGGCATTTTTTTGGACAGGCCCAACATATAAAAGGGCTACACCTTCACCAGAGCAGAGAGGACCAATCAGAACACAGGACAAAACAGACCCCGGTGGTCTGAGGCATAAAAACATTAATCAATAACAGCACCCACAGCTCATTATTTAAAACAGTGAGGAAGGAGGATTGGAAAGCCTTCAGATGATCATTCTAAAAGTCAAAATGATTATAAAAATATGTACATTTTGAATACTTTATTTTTAAAATCACTAAATAATAATAATAATAAAGCGTCCAATAGGCCTACATGTTGTCATAGTTCAAAAACTGCAGTAGGTCTACATTACCATAGGCAGTAACTGAGAGCTAATAAGGGAGTATATTGAGAAATGGCAGTAATAGAGCAAACAGGTTACATTCTTTAACCACGTGATGGCGGCACTTGTGTTTTGTGCTGTTTCGGCCATCTCCTACATGGCTGACTTGAGACGGGAGAATACGACACATTCGGTAAGTGACCGATGCTTACTGGTTTTGGGGGGCATTAGGGGAATTTTTATAGCCTAGTGCACTAAAGCAGTTTTAAATGGCCGACTCTCTGGAGAAGTGCACTGATTGAGAAACGCCATCTGTCCATTAGGCAGGCTACTAATTACAAGCTGCAATGAAACACAACAATAGCCTACACTCTTAAAAATAAAGGTGCTTCACGATGCCATAGAAGAACCTTTTTGTCTAAATGGTTCCAGAAAGAACCTTTAACATCTGAAGAACCTTTCTGTTTCACAAAAGGTTCTTTGTGGCGAAAGAAGGTTCTTCAGATTATAAAAAGGTAAGAAAGAGATGGTTCTTTAAAGAACCTTTGACTGAATGGTTCTTTGTGGAACCAAAAATGGTTCTTCTATGGCATCGCTTGAAGAACCTTTTGAAGCACCTTTATTTTTAAGAGTGTACTTAAGAAAATGTTTATTTATTTACTTATTCATTGTTCATACATACAGTTCCGCCGCTACGGTCTGAATCTATAGTGTGAAACAAACAGCGTCATCGGTAAAGTCCGAATCTCGAATCTGTGATTTCAATGAGTCGGTTCGTTTTAGTGAATCAAAACATACAGCGCAACCATTGTAGTCCGACTCCAGAACGAATTAATTCATGAGTCGGTTCTTTCTAATGAATCATATACAGCTCACTGTGTCAGTACTGACTGGTTGTTCAAATGTCAAAAGAAAGACATAATCATTAAATATAAAAAAGGGTATTTTTTTTATTATAAAAGGAACAAACAATACAAAATGCAATAAAATTATAGAAAATATAAGATATATATAAATGGGATCAAAATCCAATAAAACATAGACTATAACTGACCTACAGGTGCAGATGGATATGGAAATGTTCAAGGAAAGGGCCACACACACACACACACACACACATAAAAACACCTTTATATTAGAAAATAAGTTCTTTTCATATAGTCATTTTACATGTATTGGCATTTAGCAGACGTTTATTAATTACATTTAACAGTATATTGTATATATTTTAAGGAAACTGGCATACAGAGAAAAAGGTGTTACCACTGATCTATAATAGATCTGCATTAAGAGAAAAACTGTACCATTTTTATCCAGCAGGAACAATGTATGACATAGCCTACCCTACAAGATCTTACAGTAGGCTACTCTAAAAAAAAAATTGGAAAAAAAAATTAAAGGCAGAAGGACTGTTTGAAAGGTTTTTAAAATGAGGACATGTAGTTCATGTGTACAGGCAAATTGGTATTAGCTTATAGTAATTAATTTTTTTTTTTTTATATATATATTGCATCAAGGCTAATGGTGAAGGTCAAAAGCTTTTAGTAGTTTATAGCTACTGATTTCCACATAGAGGTTTTGACCTTTACTCTCAAAATAAAGGAGCAGTTCTAGACATGATCTTTTTGGAAAAGATGTTTTATGATTTATGCTTATGATGTTTGACCTTTTTACCTTTAGTGAACCTCGTCAAAAACCACACAACACAAATAAAAGCATAAAGGCATAGTTACCATGACCAGAACATCATTTAAAAAGAAATGTATCACAAAAAATATTTAACGTTTTGTGACGACACGTGCGTACACCACCTCATCCTCCTCTTTCTGAAAGAAATACAAATACAAAAGACACAAAATGCTTTAGTATAATAGCAAGATGTTTAGATTTTTTTTTTAAGAACCGTCTTTAACATTAAAGAAAACCAAAGAAATCCTCTCATACCACAACACTCACCACTTTAAAAACACACTTGAAAAATGTCTATCTTTGGTTACCCTGATGAAAAAAATCTTAAAACAGCCTAAAGTGGTTAGCTGGTCAAGAGCTGAACATCATCTTAACATGAAACACACATGAATCAGCTGCCCATCAGAAAAACATCATTATTATTATTATATTTTCAGCAGGTGTAGCTCATTAGTTTACCATGAGTCAAATGAATAACTAATATGGAAGAGCTTAAAGAACTAACATCAAGCATCTATTTCAAACAGAACACAAAGATATGCTGGAATTACACCTCAGACCTCAGTAAAAAAGACAAAAAAAAGGCCTTGTTATGCACAGTCAAAATTTTATGTTTCTCTCATATCACTGTTTTGACAGCAGTCATTTTTAGTTAATATAACATATTAATGTTATATTGAAAATTTGACTCTAAAGTAATATTTCTAATGAAGGCTGGAATATTCACACTCTTATACACACTCTTTTTCTCTCACAGACCATTTCTTTCACAGACAGTTCTGTCTTCACAGTGTTTTGTTCCGGAAGTCCACAGTTTCCTGTGGAACTGTTTAACAGTGTCTGTTTTATGCAGAAACACCTTGAGCTATAACGTTTTTAACAGTAGAGTATGAACCCTTATTTTGTAGAAATTACACTATATTTGTGCCGTTTGCCAATAAATAACAGTTTATTTTCAAATGGCTTCACACTGTGCACACTTGTGCTATTTTAGTTTGTTGCATATAACACATTTGTCTGAATGCCACAGAATGCTCAGTGGAACTTCTCATTTAAGACAGCAGTTTTTTATTAGTATATAGTCTATCACTGCCATATACAGTAAATGTGGCTGTCTGTACAGTTGCTTAACGTCAGTGGTGCCTGTTTAATTGTAACTACATTGTCTGTCAACAGCATGGACCTGTTAACATTTCAAAAGGCAGAATATTACATTCCCACATTTTGAATGTTACTTTTGCAATAAACCAGTCAACCATTTTTTAAAATTGGAAAACTGGAAGTGACACTACTTAACAATTAAATCATAAAATTGCAGGTAAATAAATAAACAAATAACTTTTTAATAGACATTTTAAACAATCTATGTATTTCAAGTTTTAAAATGTAGTTAAATAAAATTATAAATAATAAATAGACATTTAAAATGGTTACTTCAAAACATTTCTGCATAACAAAAAAAAAAGTTAATTATGATTTTTTTTTTATTAAAGCACATTTTAAATTGCATTTAAAAGACATTTTTACTGATTGACAAGTTCAATAAGATTAGTGGTGGGCTTTAGGGATAAGTACAAGTAACATTCCAATAAGTTAGTATCCATTTATGATTTCAAAACACATCACGCTAAATATGTAATTATATGAAATACTGCTGGCAAACAGTATATGCCACAATACAGTATAAATATCATTTATAACACATTTACACAGTGCAAAGGAATTCTGTTTCTGCTTGCACTTAGTGTAAACACCCTTTGCCTTTTCTTTATCTATTTGTCAATATAATTTAAAAAATGCTATAGAACAGTTCACTCATGGGGAAAACTAATCAACCTTTGACTCAATTTTAAGAAGCACCCCCTCTCCCATGTGCCACTCAAAGTAGATGTAAGACGGACTGTAAATAGACTGTAAGAAAGACCATCCATGTGGTCATTAAACCAGGAAATCTGTTTTTAAAATTACTTTAAAAAATTTTTTCGTGAGACTTAAATTACAATAATAATACAACAACGTCTTTCAACAACTTAGTCCATTAGCAGTTAACCACTATAGCTATCACCAGCTGAATAGCTGCTGTTGAGAAGCTGGTGTTCAGAAAACTGATGAAGATGTGCTACCAGCAGTTAAAACTGTCACATTTCAAGTTAAAACATGAGTAGCTCATGTCGCGATATACAAGAGAAGCTGTCTTAATGCACTGCCTTAACATGAAATGTGTTAAAATCTTAGGTAGCACATCAGTGGTGGATCTGGGGACACTCTCCTAAGGCATAGTTTTAAGATGGCAAGCTATAATAATTACTATGACAAATGAAAATGAATTAATAATTACATAATAATTACAAAAGTACATTTATGGGGACAGGCAATGTTATAATGTTACTTTTTGTTACTTTAGTCAAATGAGTAATTAGGCTTACATTAGGGGTTCCTGGAGATCTACCCCCCCCCCCCTCTGTGCAGAGCGGAGGGTCCCCGGCACCCGGATTTAGAACCACTGGCCTACAATGCTGTAAGACAGTCCTGCTCAGTCCTGTTCCTGGTGACCTATACCTGAGTTCAGCTCTGTAATTATCAAGTGCACCTGGAGATCTTATTTTGCGTATTTACGTGTTGATCGCAAATGTACGTCACCACAAAGTTGTAATTATGAGTGGGAAACTTGATTTTTCTTAAAGCACAGAGTTTACGAGTTCAGGGTGTATCGGCGAGAAAACATGTTGAATTCAATGGATGCAGCGATGATGGTAAATTTGTTAAAATTATTATTATTATTATTTTCATTTAAAAAAATTACATGTGAAAAATATAGTTTTGTACAATTCGGCATACAATAAATATGATTGAATTGAATTAATTTACTGTCATCGATTGAGTAAATGTATTGCATTCTTTATTTATCATTTTGTAGATGTAGAGTTAAAAATCTTGTTGAATTTTACGCAGAGAAGATGCATTGCCATCTCAACAAGTTGGTTTTTTAATTATGACTTCCCAGCTCGTAAATACTACATTTCCAGGAGCATTTGAAAACACCATCAGTTAGCTGGTTTCAACTGTGTTGGATCAGGGTTGGAACTGAATTTAGCAGGGGGGTAGATCTCCAGGAACCCCTACTGTAAACCTACTTAGATAAAAAAAGATAAGAATATTTATAATATAATAATAATAATAATAATAATGTCCAAAAAAGAAAATTGACTGGTTGAAAGGTTTATAATATATGCGTATAGACAAAGAGGTCTTAGCAAAAAAAAACTTTAAGCTTTAAACATATTTCTATAAAGGGTTTGGCCTTAAATCTTAAACCCAGGAAACAATTGTAGACATAACATTTTCAGCTGCAAAGATGTTTAGGCTCCTTATGATCAGAATCAGAATAAGAATGCCTTTATTGTCATTGCACAGCTGTACAGTGAAATTCAAGTGCAACTCTTGTGTGGTAAAAGTAACACACAACAAGCAGAATAGAACACAGAATAAAAAGTAACATACAACAAGCAACTCGCCATTGTGGCGAAAATAGATAGGCCGATATGAATAAGCAGTAATGTTTGATCATTTTACTTTTAGTCCAAATGGATCCCACATTAAAATGAAAGAACACATTATCTAAAAAAACAAAACAAAAACACTTAGGCCACGTACCCTTAGGTAAATTTAAATACAGACGTGAAACCCCCAAATGATCGTTCTGTGTTTGAATACCGAGCTAACAATAGCAACGCTCTTCTCGCATTTTTGGTAGGCACTATCCGCTATTTTTGAACAAAGGTGTGTTCGACACCTAAGCGGCACTGCGCAGACCGATCGGTGTAAGTGCTTATCAAAGGATCGCGAGAGCTGTAGTGAGCAGACAGCTCTTCATGTTTTCGACGATATGCGGGCCCTCCGAGGGGGGAACGCGATTTCTACCTGGAGGACCGTGGAACACTATTGTTTTACCGAGGGGATTTCTACCAAGGGGGCTGTGTCCTTTCTAGTCCAGTACTTTAGATCTTGTAGGTTAGAGTTCTGCTCAGCAGTAAAGGTTATAATGAGGCGGTCAATAGTAAGTGCGCATGGCTTTGTCTTAATTGTTTCTGTCCCCACGATAATGCCACGTAAATACTATTAAAATTCATTAAAAAAAATACTTTATATTATAAATAATACTTTCTATTATAGAAATAGAATCTATTCTATCGTTGTATTAACTGACTTTATAGTAATGAATATTAAACGGTGGTTTACGTTACGCACAGTTACAACAAAACAAAAGAAAACAATGGCACATCTCTGATGCATATTTAAATATATGTCATTAACAATTAGTTGTTCAGTTTGGTTCCATACACTCTGTGTAGAATTTTTGTCAAGTGGCTTTCAATACCTGAATTTTTCGAGAGTTAATACATTTGATGAATGCGTTCGTAGCTCATGTACGTTACTGAACTCGCTGTGCTAACAAGATTAAGAAGTAAAAGGTGAATTGACAAATGCCAAGTTCTGTCATGAAACTGAAAGACCAAATACATTATCATTGTCATATCCATTACCATGCTAAAATCTTCAGAGAGTTGTCATGATAGAACTAAATTTAGCCTACAGACACATGCCCTGAACATCATTTATGAGGTTAATACCAAAGAATTTGATTAACGTCTCGTGACGACACCTGCATACACCACCTCATCCTCCTGTCTAATGCCGGGTTCAGACTACACAAAATTTTTGTCGGTCACGATAGTCACTGTGTCAGATTACACGATTTTGACTCCTAAAGTTGTGGCGTGGACAAGAAACTTGTCAGACTACACATTGCTTCCCGACCATTCATCGTGTGCCGTCTTTAACGACGTGTTAGGGATAAGTACAAGTAACATTCCAATAAGTTAGTATCCATTTATGATTTCAAAACACATCACGCTAAATATGTAATTATATGAAATACTGCTGGCAAACAGTATATGCCACAATACAGTATAAATATCATTTATAACACATTTACACAGTGCAAAGGAATTCTGTTTCTGCTTGCACTTAGTGTAAACACCCTTTGCCTTTTCTTTATCTATTTGTCAATATAATTTAAAAAATGCTATAGAACAGTTCACTCATGGGGAAAACTAATCAACCTTTGACTCAATTT